TGGTTATTTAAAAATTTATATTATTCCATAAAAAGTATAAAAATTACATGTGTTGAAAATGGGCGAGACCTAGTGAATTCTGTAAAATAATTTTGCTGACCATAGTTCAGTGAATATACAAAAAGAAGTGTCAATTATCAACAAACAACTGATTTAATTAGTGGTATTGAGCAAACAATTTACTATGCTGCATCCGTAAGCTTCTGTGCTCAATTGCCATTGTGAAGGTTCTTGGCTTGAGCCGGATGATGCTTGCGTTGAGAGAATCATGTCATTTGGAATCATTGCCTTCGATTGCAGCATCACCCGAAGAGCTGAGCAGACCTCAAATTACTACGGTTTTTCTTCATTTGAAACAAAAAATTGATTATATAATTGTGAAATTAAATTGCATTTTTTAAAAAATTATGTAATTTAAAAACGAAAACTTCACCCGTATCACAGAATCTTATAGCCAAAATTAATAGATTTTTTCTTTGTATGGTCAAACTAATTTCACCCTCTGTTCCAAGAGAAGGTAGAGAAGAGAAGTCCCTAAACTATTTCTACAAGAAAGAAGAAAATAATAGACAGAAAGGAATAGAACTTGTTAAACACTCAAATAATGCAGGCAAGAGTAACAATGGGACAAAGAATACCAGGTCAGCATTGCTGTTGTAGAATGTAGAAGGACTTCTGACTGTACTAAGAAGTATGCCAGCAGAATATTTAATACTGCGGACATAAAAAACATTACAGAGACATTTCTAACAAAAGAACAGTCCATCCCAAAGTATATATGCCAGTCATTCTTTTGCAAAACAAGGGAAAGATACAAGGCCAATTGAAGGCATCTCATGAGCAATAATTCTCGTCTAGTTCCTGGACTGGTTATTTTCAAGAATAATAACCTACATGCACAGCAAATTACGTAATACAAAGATGCATGGCTGAAGTCCTAGGTCCATGTAGCATAATGATCATCCCATAATACATAACAGGAGACTTTAATCGTAGAATTTGAAAATCAAACCTGGAAAACAATTCTGCTTTAGACACCAAAACCACACACAGCCATGTAGAGCTCAATGAAGCATCAGAAAGGCACGTAACTGCATCACATGGAAAAAGGCACCAATATATTTTCGATTTTAGTACCATAGATAAAAAAGTAATCCACTAGAACATAATACGCATCAGCCAGAACACACCTATTAGAAAACAGTAATCCTGCTCATGTACATTCCTGCAACGATCCCTTGGGAATATACCAAGAAAAAACTGCCAGAAGAACCTCAAAGAAAAAGAATCTTGAACAAGAAAGCACTTCTGCGGAGCAAGGCAGATTCAGAATACAAAGTCCAAAAGAAATACATGACACAAGCAAAATAGATGAAGCCAGCCTGATCCCATTATGAGGTAAATCTATTAAAGTTCAAACTGCCATATTCCTCCCACAGGAAACGCCAAGTATGATTTGATGCCGAGTTGTTTTAAAGAAAGAGATTGTTACTCAAGATGTGCACGAGGCCTAGGAAGCCTGAAAGTAAGCAGAAGTACAACTGATAGGACAGAAACACTACTTTAAATGAAATACGTGGAGCAAAAACTAATACCAAAACCTCCTTAAGGAAAAGAAAGTGGAATTATATTGAAGAAGAAGAGAGATGGATGCTGAAGAAGCTCTTAACATCCATACATCACACGGAAACCAAAGAGACTCATAAATTGCAAATACGATAAACATGAGTACTTTGCAAGGCCATTTCACTTAATTTCTCAATAAAGCAAAAATAACCTAAGCGCTTTTGAAGAGCCTCAGCGATAGAATAACAAGAGATTACGCCCACCAATCACGAGCAGAGAAGTTAGCCAAACACCTTGCCAACCAATAGAATTAAAAAGACAACAAGTCCAAAGGACCAAACAAGCATTTATAGGTGAAACATTAAAAGCTCCAGAGATAGTCTTGCAGAAAGATACTTGGGTATTACTATCAACAAATGCATAGAAATGGGAAAGATCCCAGAAGTATGGAAAGATACCACAGTGAATATTCTGTACAAAGGTAAAGGTAACATCAGACTTCCTACAGATGCATTTGCATGCAAAATAGCATACAACTCTTCGCAAAAATACTAATGTAGCAGCAATGACTAAAACCATGGAAGAAAAAGACACATCGAGAATCACCTAGGTTTCCAAAAAGGGCACTCAAACCTTCCAAGGCAAACAGAGAAAACTCTTGATAATATCACGAATGCACTTCGCGAACCAGGAAGAAAACTTTATGGCAATATTATAAGACTATTGCAAAAGCTTTCAATAGGGATAAACAGATGAAGACTATTACAGAACTAGAAGAAAATATGAATGAAGAGAAATATCTACTTACGAGTATCTACTACTACAAATACTAAAGCAAAACTTCGTCATCAGTAGAAGATAACGTACAGAAGTCGAAAGGAAAATCACACAAACTAATAGCTGTTACGACAAGGGACTGGCTCAGTTCTTGCTATTTAACATTAAT